GCCCGGGGGGCGCGGGAAGGGGGTTACAGCAGCTGAGGGGGAGCAGCTCCGCGTGCAGTGCCGGCAGCACCGCCTGCATTCGTGGGGCTGCCTAAAATCTGCACTCGAGCGGTGTTGGCCACTGGAGCAGGGAAGGGTGTGCGGGGCTTTGGGCAGCGGGAGCACCGGGGCAGGGGAGGGAGCTGCCGGGTGAGCTGTTCCCCGGGGCGATCACTGACGTGTGTTCCCCCCAGTCCTCTGCAGCATGAGCTTCCACGACCCCGAGGGCTACATCGACTCCACGGACTACCCCCCGCTGCCCCTGCACAGCTACCTGGAGTGCACCTACAACGTCACCGTCTACACGGGCTACGGCGTTGAGCTCCAGGTAAGAAGCGTGTCGGTGGGGGGGATCACCGTGGCCCCGATCCCGTGGCAGCAAAGGATGCAAAACATCCACAGCCTTGGGCACGGCTGCCCCGGGCTTGCTAAAAAAATACCCTGCCTGGGGAAAAAAACCTAGTTTTTTCTTAGGCCGTGTAATAAATTAACTGTACGAGGGAACTGGTACATCCTGAACGTCAGCGGTGATCAAAGCATTTAAAATGCCATGCAATTAATTTAACAACGAGACACTGGCAGGCAATTTGCACAAAAGGCACTCAGCCTTGGTGGGACGGGGCGAAGCGGCGGTGCTGTCTCCAGCACGGCCACCAGCCCTCTGCCCTCCCTCCCCCGGGGGGCGCGCGGGCAGCCCCGAGGTACGCGTCGGGGTGGGCAGCCCAAGTCCCATCTCCAGCCAGCACTGGCTTTGGGTGGGCTTTGACAACCGGCTCCTACACCGAAGCAGGGCCACGTCCCTGGCAGCTGAAGGGTAAAACCACGCGGAGGAGCAGGTGCTTTGCAGCAAACCACAGCGGCAGCAGGTATGCGCGCTGCAGCTCTGTTTCTGCGGGATGACGTGGGTAAATGCCGTGAGCGGGCACGCACGTGAGCACGGCCGGTGCGGGTACAGCATACCATGTGCCAGGGCTGCCGCCGTGCCGGCGCCGCGCACACCCATCAGAGCCGGAGGGTGTGGACCAGGCAGGCGCGCTCCATCAGCTCCCCCCGAAACGCTGCGTCCCACTGCCCGGCGAGGCTGGGAGCGGGGCAGGGGCCTTGACACGTTTCGCACGCCATCAGTCCCCGGTCTCCACGCTCTGGTGCGTCTTGTTCTTGCGTTTTCCCCATGTCACCGTTTGCATCCAATTAAAATCCATTAGCTGCTAATCCGCGTCATTAAGAAAGTGCATTAAAAAGAGTAGTAGTTCCAGTGAGCTCGTTCCTGCCGCCCCTCCGGCGGGCACGGGGGGGCCGACCTCTGTGGCACGACTGCCGCCGTGGAAGCCAGCCCCGGTGCGGAGGTTGCCCCGGGAGCCGGCAGCAGCGGGCAGCGGTGGCAGAGGGGCGCGCACTGGGATGTGTGCACATCTCAGCCACTTTTCCATGGCGGTAACTCTGTCTCCCCAAATCCACGGGGTGCTAAAGACAGGCTGCTCCGCCGTAAATTCGCCTCCGTCCATAATGCATCAGGTGACACCACTCCTGACCTCGCTCCGTTGTAAACTGAGATTTTAATGGAGCATAAAATTAGCCTCTCCACCCCCCGAGCTTTGCATTTCACTTTGCCGATGCTTCTGAGCTTTTCAGATAAATTAAATCACGGCAGCGGGTCCGCGCTGGCGGAGCGTGGCCTCATTTGGAGCTGGCTGAGCACACACCGTGCCGCCCCTCCGGCAGCAGCCCCTGGGGTGCCCGTGGTGCCCGGGCTGAGCCGCCCCGCCTGGATGGGCACCGGCGAGAGCTGGAGGAGGATGGGCCCCGGGGCTGAAGGCAGCAGCGCTGAGTGCCCCGGGGATGCTGCCTGCAGCTGAGTCCAGCAAAAATCCTGCCCGTGCCCTGCCGCCGGGCGGGCAGAGCTCAGCAGAGATTCGGGAGGAGGGAGGGGGGCTGGCAGTCCCTGTCCTCGCAGGTGCCCGTGGGCGAGGGCTGATGTGCTCCATCGTGTCAGCATCGGTGCGTGTCTGACCCGCCACGGCAGGCATCGAGCTCTGCAGAAGGCTTCTTAACCATTTAGGCAGCAGCAGCGACATGATTTATGTCCCAAGGAAGCTAGAAATAGCATTCGTGCCGAGCAAGACAACAGATTTATCCCCTCTCTTTAGTTCGCGCAGGGGATGTCACACACGATACATGCTGATGAGCACATGGAGGAGACAGACAGTGCGGGGCAGAAATGTTGTCTGTGTTTGTGTGGAAACCTGATTTTCAAACGACGGGTCCACCTGGACGTCACCCCTGAGTAGTGGGGCCGGTGCAGAAAGCTCTGCTCCCGCCGCCGGGACTTTTCCCCGCTGTCACGAACGGGCTTTGCAGTAAGGAGCCGTGCCTGCCGGCTCCCGACAACTCTGG